ATCATATCAACGTTCCAATAGTAATTGAAGTTTCACAATAATAAATTAGTGAATACTAGTACATAGTAATATATCACTCAACGGGCGGAAAATGTGGTCATTACTCGTCAGAATGAAATTTGCCCCAAATAATTTGGGTATTATTGAGTAGAATACTTTACTTTTTTCCCCTCGTTCGATTGATGACTTATTGATTTTGTAGAAATTCATGTTGAATAAAGAATAAAGAAAATACTTTTGTCTAGTTTCTACTGTGTTTATTTATTCGTTACGACTGGTTTCGGCTTATAAGGCCATTTTCAAGTAACCGTTATTTGAAAATGGCCCAAAAAATGATACCTAATATAAATTGTGATTTGTTCCTGTCTTTGGAGTGAAATGTAGGTCCAAACGAGTGCATCTATACTACTCTCCATTACGAACCGCAAAGATTCATTTCAATTTCGTCAAATGTAGTCATTCCGATTCATTGATTATTTATGTGAGTAAATTTCCAGGTCGGATTTCGAACGTGAAACTTGACCAAACTCTGAAAACCTGAAACGGTTGCAGCGAGGCAGAAATGTTTTCTGCTCTTTCGTCACCTTACAGAAACGGAGGCCGACAGTTCAAGTCTCTGCATATTGTTACGTTTCACCCGTGGGTTTACCAATAATTGACTACACTGTACAATGATCAAACCCAACTTTATTTTACTGTTGATACAACACTCAAACTAAAATTTCAACTCATATTCAAATGTCTATCTCTTTATTATATCGCTCAGTACCGCAGTGTTTGCTAAACTTGATTTGTCGATATGCGAGTCTATAGCTCTTGTATATGGTAATCGAAGTGATTAGAACACGATAGAGAATTTGCTAGAATTCTATCGAAGCCGGTAGAATTATTTCCGAAGCGACGCGACCTCTAAAACGGTCGTGTAGTTGAGCGCGGTCTTAACCACGTCACAATTGAATTAAAACAGCCGTCGTAATTTTTTTAAGGGATACTGGGATTAAGGGATCCAGATTTTGAATCGACATCCTTATTTTGGAACCTACTTTCTTTACTGTTATTTCTTCAACGTGAGTCATTTATTTTCCTGAACTAAAGATCTTCTCGGGCCAGGGTCTCTTATGTTTTGGTCCTAAGCCCTTAATCCCTCAAGAACCTACGTTCCTGAATCTACGTCCCATATCCTCAGTCTATATCACTGGCTTTGTCCTACATCTCCTTTTCTTAAGGCTTGCGTCTCTTGTTGTGGACATATGATCCTTGTTTCAAACCTACGTCCCTGATTTTGGATGAACGTCTTTCGTTTTGGACCAGTGTCACTTGTTTTGGACCTACGTCCCTTGTTTGAAACCTACGTCCGTGATTTTGGACATACGCCTCTTATTTCAGGTATACATTCCTGGTTATGGACATATATTCCTTGTTCTGGATCAACTTCCCCTGTTTTTGACTTACATCTCTTGTTTGTTCAAAGTTGTAGTGATGTACTTGTTTTGAAGATTCATATCATATCCTCACCGAATCAGTGTGTTTTTATTTGAAGTGGGGGTGAGTCCTAATCTGATTTTTATAAAATATTTAATTTTCACATGAACATCCTTTTGTACTCTCTGTTTTACTAGCCTTTTTCCTTTTTATTCCGATGACAAATAAATATATCCTCGTCGCCAGTGTACTTACTGCCCTTGAACTTTGTACTCCATACAAAACCACTGACACACACACACAGAACTAAACAGTCCAATTTAGTTGTTAACACTTTGGCTATCCAGGGCGTACTGCCAATCCCCTTTGTCATCTCAGTTCAAATAAATCAGTACGTGATGTAATATCTAGGGTGACTCATCAATGTTTTCTGATAAACTACAATTACAAAATAATGACTCCTAAAAAAAAACCCTTCAATTCAAATCTCTCAAGATTTTACACCACAATTTTTTTGGAAATAACAATTTACAAAAATAACATAGTGGTTACAATCATGCAAAAAAAAGGAAGGAATTTGCATTACAAACTTCTGTAATATTCATACATCATGAAGAGCATTTCAATAGTTTTCTACACATTTTGATCTATTTTGTCAGTAAGTTTTACAGTATAATTATTATACTTAATTCAATCATATTGCTATTTCAACTTCAATGAAGAAAATAAAAGTTGGCGAAAACTCGGTAATGAGTTTTTCATATAAATTGAAGGCTATGCTGCCAGAAGAGAGTTTTCCGAACAGTGACGAAACTGACATAAATGAAACAAGTTTTCAAACTTAGAATGCTCTAGATATAGTATGTTTCACAAAATAGTGAATACTATCTCAATGATACTTATTAACATAACGTTGATATTGTTAAGCTGATATTGAAATGTTTTACTGATCTTCAACTAATCGAAAAGTTAACAATATAATAAGTCATTCTATCGTTGAGAATGATAAATAAATTTTGCATAAAATCATACTCAGTACTCGATTTTATTGCAACTGAATTCAAATTGCATGGTATTGTATTTGAATTATTCAAATAAGTGTATCGCACTGTATGCGATTTTGTTTTGCAATAAAAATTTCTCACATTCAATCATATTTTGCTTCATTTCAAGATTGTAGCTGCGAGTCAAATATTTTTCTCGGAAAAGAAATATATTGGAGTTCCTTTTGAAGTGATATTTTTTCGAATGATTCGCATTATCGAAGATAAAACTTGTTTCTGTCAGCCGAGTATATCAATGAAAACTCCACCCGAATAGGCAGGACCGTGATCCGTATAATAACTACACAAAAATATGCAGGGTTTACTTTTTTATGGAGTCAGAGATGTTTTTCTGATGTTTTTTGATGTTTCTATATGAAGCAAAAACCCTCAGGGGTGCTTGAAGTGCTAATAAAAACTTCATCACATGTGATATTATAGCCAACCTTATAACAGTAAAATATTTTTCAACATTATACATTTTGTTTGATGAAATTTACTTTCATCAAATATTGAATGGGGAGGATATTGTTGAGTGATTCAACTTTTTTTCTCGGGATCAGCACGATAAATTACACAAAAATCAGCTGAAATGTTTCAATCGTTGGCCTGTACTATTACTGTACCTGTACTATTACAAATGATAAAAAAGAGATTCGATTTTTAGTTAATAACTCAAAAACTATGGGTTAGTTAAAAATATTCTGACAGAAAAGAAAACAATTGAAACAATTGAATATTTCAATTACTTGATATTTTGATCAAAATCGCCACTGAAGATTCTACAGAGTGGGTCAAATTGAACATTTTTGAAGGAAAACTCCCGTTTCAAAAGTGGATTAATGAAAGCTGATGGCTGTGTCTGAAAATCAAATTTAATTATAAACTCAACGGTGAAAGGTAAATATCGATATCTACCATTGTTTTCGAGTTACAGCATGTTTTTCGAACATGTGCATTTTCAAAAAGTTGCTGTTACTGTTTTCCTGTCAAACAAGTTTTTCTATGAATACATTTCCAGAGTACTTTTCTACGTAGAATTCAATCTGTTGAAAAAAATCTGTTTTTCCGGTAACCAGCTACGAACGACAACCCTCAGAAGTCGAAACTTTTGCGAGCTAAGTATTAACAAGGTCTTACTTTTTAACGTGTGATTCTCAACACGGGTTGGACGATAACCAGTGAATATCTATCGTTCAGACTGGGGCTGGAGCCACCGACTAACACGGCAGTCAATTCGAGTGAGTGAACAAAGCACCCACGTCGAACCGACCGAATGGTGTCAGAAACTTTGAAACACAGAGCTTTTAGGGTTTTTCATGTAAACTTTGGAAAGCAAACTTTGATCCAGTAGTCTTTGGACGATACGGCGATAAAACAGAATATAAATTGACAGCTACTAGTAACCGTTAAGTTTTGATTTAAGTAGTGAAGACGCTCTTCAATTAGTGATCTGTTCAATTTTCAAACACATTCGCAATGAAGTATGAGAATTAGGAAAGCAAGCAATTTTTTTCACGAGGGGTATCCAGAAGGGTATCCAGAATCTGCTAAAGACATTTTCGCAAGATTGCGACATAACCAAATTGATGGTGATCAATTTGAAAAAAGAAGATCAAAATCATATTTATCAAATAGAGATAAGGAGTTGGAAGAAATAATCGTTTAAGAAGCTGTTGAAAATAATCCTAATACGTCAATGCGAAATTTGAAAATATCAACAAGCCTATGAAGAATTAACATTAAGAGGATTTCTAAGAAACACAAATTTAAGCCACACAGGACCAGATTTTGAAAGTCGCATGGCTTTTTGCCAGTGGTCCTTGAAAAGTTGTAACCAATTGCGTGATTTCTCGTTAAATTGTATTTGAACAGGATACTTCCCATATATCGTACGCTTTTCTGTTCATCGACGCTGTTTGATTCGCAACTTCCCGAGAATGTTTACGTTGGTGAATTTTTTGTGAAGATGACGAGCTCAGTTTTCGATGTATTCATGTCAATTTTGTTCCTGTACGGCACAATCATCCTGTCGAGGTGAATCTGCAGTTGCTGCTCAGCCACCTCGCTCGAGAACGAGTGTGCGTAAATTGCGGTATCGACCGCGAAGATACCGACATTCGTATGAGAGAATATGGGAAAGTCACGCGTGTACAATGAGTGCAATGAGTGCAATCACGAATGAAGGTAACCTGCCGACCATATTTTGGCAACAAACCCTTTCGTCCGTACTTTGTGGAAGGCTTTTCGAATGTCCAGCAGGACCAAAACTGTATCCTCCCCCTGATGGAACATCTATTGAATTCAAACTTATGAACAAGATTACAATACTGAAGTCGAACCAACAAAATCCTTGCTTAGGTAATGAAAAAGAGTAATGGCTCACAAAACATTCTATTTTCTCTCTCAATGAGAAAATTGAAGAAAAAATCATTGAAAGTAGTTCAATAATATCAGGATAGCAACACTTCTATAATCGAAAAACCAAACTGCTACTTCAAACAGAGGTGACGAAAGAAATGAAAAGAAGGCAGCTTATAATAAAAATTGTGTTTACCGTCATAGATGATGATTACAATTCAATTTCCAATCAAATGTAAGGTGAACAGAGTCATATAAATTGAGGTATTCTATGCTTTTCTGAAGTATTGTATTCATTCATGGATGTTAAACATCAAATTGGATTAAATTGGATAATTCGAAATGAAAAATCAAATTTTTTTTCCAATACTAGAATGAAAAATATATACTCAAAGACCTTGAAGCGTTTTTTCTGTTCGGTCAATTTCTGTTCGGTTAATTTCATTTCAGCGGTTGTAACTGTTTTCAGATTTTGACTCGTGAATTTTGGAATCCAAATTTGTAAAAAGCGAAAATTGGAGAAAATTTCAATAACCACAGCAAGATTTTAAAAAATTGATTCAAGATGATCCTCGCAAAATCAAATCGCATTATCCCAACTGTGACAGACAGATAATTCCATTTACTTGTCCTTTGAGGAGTTTCAGCTTGATTCAATGAAACACTTTCTGTGATGCTATCTACCACAAATTTGAGATATTCCATGGAATGATCGTAAGATATCATTGGTAATATTGCTTTCATCCCACTGACGAAGGCTTTAGACAACGTTCCGAAATAATCTGGCTTCTTCTTGATATTAGGTGCCATTTCACGTTGAATGAGTAAAATACATATTTGTTTCGTTTCTTCGACCGATTCTCTGCAAATGTTGAATCTATAAAAAATAAAAATGGAAGCAAAGTTATTAGCTAGTTCCTTTAACCCTTTCGCTACTGAACAGTCTTATATGTCCCAAGAGGTTTTAGTTCTTAAACATTTCACCCTACAGGCCTTTCTCAAATAATATTATAATAGTGATTGATTCATCGTGTCTGGCAGGATGTTTCAAAAAGGATTGCACTACGAAATTAGAAGTCATGTTGATCATGTAGATAGATAATTGTATACCACGAGAAACAGAGACCAGTAATGCTCTATTCACACTTTGATCGTGATTTGCTGTTGAATCTCTCATTATGTATTTAGAGAGGTTCTTTTCTAGTTCCGAGGTCATTTCCTTGAACTTGTTGAGGTTTTTTGTAGAAACTTTTTCATTTCAGCACCTAAATTATTGTTGCTGCATACATCAATCTCCTATATTTTTTAGTCAGGTTCTAATATGACATATTCTGTCTCTAAGTTATTGATTTCCTCATGGTATTGGTCATTTGCCAGAGTCAGAGAGTCATCTTTCATCTTTCAACAAAACCCTAATTGTACTAACAATTTCAAAAGCAACTGCTTTCGATGCCATTTTCAACTGAATTACATTAAACGGATTTGTAAATTGGATAAATTGAAGTATTTTGTAATGAACAAAAACTATTTCATATCTCAATTGACCGGAGTGTATTCTCAGGAGAGATTAATTTTTTGGAAAGAAGGGTTTTGGCTTTCTACTCCTCTATCTCCATTCACAAAAATGTAGGAATCTCTGAAACAATTTCGAAATAAACTCTATACAAAGATGTGCAATTCATGCAAAGAAGTTACTTTCAGAAAAAAACTGGAAGAAAAAGTCCTCTTGAAACATATATAAACATGAAACATCATATGAACATGAAAATAATATGAAAAGGTTATATTATTTTTAGGAGTGACTAATTTTTTTGTGAAAAAAAATTTTTGGCTTTCTACTACTCCATCATAATACACATGGAGGTTGAATTCCCAAATGTTTTGAATTGCTGTTATTTTCTCATAATTTCAATTCGAACTACATCTCATTTCACAACGCTTGACAAAAATTATCGTCTTCTAAAGTTATTCAATTGAATATACAAACGTACTCATCTCGAATTCCAAGAAGATAACCCATTACTCTCCAAAAGTGAATGAAGCATTTCAATTCATCTCTGCTTGCAAAAATCCCAACCATTTCGTTTCTCATCACCGGAAAACCCATAAATCCAATGATGGCTGCACACATTTCATATTGAGATATAGGGTGACTGAGACGTGATTTACTCTGTTCACTTACTGTATCATGCATTCTCCTTACTTTCTTGATAGATGTCCACAATCTGAAAAATAATCAATGTTACCATCGAGATTCGATTTACTTCCATGAAAAAGTTGATTTACAGAAAAATAAAGGAAATCGACCAAAATGACAAGAAAAATCATGAATTCTCAAAAAAATTGCATTGATTTCACAGAATGATTTATCGAAATGAAGTCTGTTGACTTTCTACATCACAATTTTCCCGAATAAAAAATTTAAATGAAAACTCTGATCACTTCTACTGAAAAAATTGTTCAGTATCCAAGAAAATTGTTATTTTTATGAAGTACTCGTCTTGGTTTTTCACAGTCTATCTTTAGTCAAGGACTGTCTGCCTGGTACTGACAATGACCAAGAGGTTGAAACAGCAACTGAAGTGAAGCGTTAGACTATATGGTGGAAAAATCCCAAAAATTTCAAAATTTGATGAAGTACTACCACAAGAATAAGTATTAGGGGCCCTAATCTTCAGTCTATATACCTACAATTCTCTTTCCTATCATGCACGCAACATTATCGTGTTGATGATAAACAATTTTATTCGTCATTCAGACTTAGTACTCTCAGACTTTCAGTGCTTTGATTTTTAATCTGTAGTATCTTGAGTATATTTCTTTGAATTATTGTCCAAAACGGATTTCGAATGGAACTGTAGCAAAAAACAAGAAAATAATTCATTGAAAACAACTTTGATAGTATTCAGATTGGTCCTGTTACACTTTCTAATGAAGTTAAAATTCTAGATTCCTGTATTGACAAAGATATGAGATTTTCCTAACATATCAAGCAGAAGTTTACGAAAAGCCTACAGTAATTTCGACTCGATTCATCAAAATAGACAGTTGTTTAATGAAAGAATTGAAAGTTAACCATGTGACTCTTCAGTATTTTCCAGAATAAATTAATGCGATGTTATCTATGCTCCTTGTATGAACTCATATTTACCCAAATGATTGGGAAAATATGAGTGATCGAAGGTTTCTCTATTCTGCTTGCTTCTTTTACAAAATGTTCATATATCATAACTTTCCTTATTCGTACAATAAGACCTTTGATTTTGAAGGTACCTACGTTTTGCAGAGAACCAGCAGAAAAACAAAAGCTGACGTAGCTTATCTGTGCAGAAAGCTGAATTCAGTTACAGTTCTGTGTATATGGAAAGTTACTTGCCTCAAATCTTCCAAACTGAAGACGCTGCAGACGTGTCCTATGTTTTAACTACATCTTTCTACACGGTATTAGCTAAATAAGATGTAAGTTTTCCGTCGGATGTCTGCTACACGTCCCTATAAAATCTCATAGTAGAGAACGCTATCACTAACCTATTCTAACAACTTTCAATTCCGTATTTTCAAAAACAACTGAGTAATGGACTGAAATGAGTCTTACTGCGCAGATAGACTGTTATGCTCCAAAACCAATTATAGAGTGTACACGATGTTCGTGAAGTTCAAATTTTCAACAATATTTTCACATAGAATTGAATATTTTCAACACATCATCATCAGAAATATATCATTCCTTCGAACCAATTTCTAACATCGCCTGCGAAATGAGGTTTGACTTCTATTTTTCTCTGCATTTTCAATTGCAATCTGGTAATTATTCGTAGATGAAGAGAAGAGACAAATGCATGAGTGCATTACATTCATGATCTTTTACGCTTTTTCGAATTGCCATACATCTCATAACTCATACCAGGGGTAATGAATGCAACATTTGAACTCTCCTATACACTGCGTCTTTGTAAGAGGAGATGTTCCTAGTAAGAAGAGTTTCAATGTTGCATTTAAGACCTCGTCAGTGGCATTGATTGCTGAAACATCTCTATCTGATGTTATACAGGGTGTTTGGTAGCCGGGTGCAAACCTTCAAGAGGGTGATACACTAGCCCATGTAGAACATATTTATACAAACATTTTTATTTTCTAGCGCGTTTTTGATTTTTGAGGGAACTTTTACGATTTTTACTACAAAAACCCAAAATTGGTCAATTGAATGCTAATAACTTCGAATCTTTACAGAAATGTTCGTTTTTTTAAATTTATTTTAGTAGTCTTATATGTCCCCAATCGTAATAAAGTAGTTTGAAGCACCATTGTTATGTACAGAGCATTTAAACTTTACAAAAAAAGAAAGAAAATAAAAAATCTGACCTTTGATGCCAATTAAAAAAATAAATAAAATACATACAGGTGTTCAGACACCTTTCAAAACATGCTTAGTTATTGCTCTTTCGTTTGAGGTATCATTTACAAGCCGATATCATTTTTATGTATGGCAGAGCTGATGGCAACGCATCTCTGGCACGACGTTTGTACCAAGAACGTTACCCGAACCGCAGGTAAATTTATTTCTAATTGTAGCGGTAGTTAAATTTTGCCATTTTCACCTTCAAAAGACGTTAAAAATGAGTTATTTTATTGCAGGGCGCACACACACACGTCCGTGTGTTTTCCAACACATATCGTAGGCTGTCTGAATCTGGTATTCATCATGCCGAACCTGCAGTAAATCCAGGAAGACATAATGTCAATGTTGAGGAGCAAATTCTCGCAGCCTTCGAAGCGGATCCTACCACCAGCATCAGAGTTGTAGCGAGACATTTAAATCTTTCGATATGGAAAAAAGACTTAGCTAGGTAAATGATACCTCAAACGAAAGAGCAATAACTGAGCATGTTTTTAAAGGTGTCTGAACACCTGTATGTATTTTATTTATTTTTTCAATTGGCATCAAAGGTCCGAATTTTTATTTTCTTTCTTTTTTTGTAAAGTTTGAATGCTCTGTACATAACTTTTTTGGACATAATGGTGCTTCAAACTACTTTTGTACGATTGGGGACACATAAGACTACTAAAATAAATTTAAAAAACCAGACATTTCTGTTAAGATTCGAAGTTATTAGCATTTAATTGACCAATTTTGGGTTTTTGTACTAAAAATCGTAAAAGTTCCCTTAAAAATCAAAAACGCGCTAGAAAATAAAAATGTTCGTAAGAATATGTTCTACATGGGCTAGTGTATCACCCCCTTAAAGGTTTGCACCAAGCTACCAAACACCCTGTATATTTGGAAAATGACTTTTGCTAAAACTAAAAAAAACATGATCTTACTTTGAACCAGGTTGAAAATCCGATTCATACCAACTGCACATGTGCATGATAGTAGCTGCATACCTCTTATATGCTGTTACTGGTGTGCTTGATTTATTGGTCATCACCAATACTTTGGCAAACGGCTGTGCAAATCCTGACAACAATGCCAGAAAACAGCCAAGAAAAATTCCTACAGTATTCTTATGGTAGAAATCCTGGCCTCTGCAAATAAAGAAAGGTCCATTCAGTTTTCATAGAATTCAAAAATTGACAATTTTATTGATTCATCGAATGAATTATTCGACAAAGCAGTGACATTAAACTGCCTATTTTATCTATAAAACTCATTAAAAAATCAATAGTATTACTTTATCGGTATAACTCAGTGTTTCTCAAACTTTTCGGATTCACGGCTTCATATTTTTTGAAGGTTATCGCGGCGCCCCGAACGTAAAGACTACACTAGATATTCAATTAATGAAAGTAGGTAGGTGGCTGTCTGAACAGATTGCATTTTGCAATTACCGATATTATCAGAGGATATTTATTAATAGGTACCGACGTATTATCTTTACTCTCAGTTATCTATGTTGTGAAACGTTGTACCTTGAGACTCACCTGTGGCCCACGGAGCCCCAGTGAAGGCACACTTTGAGAAACACTAATGTAAATGTAAGCATTTTCAATCACACCCCGTAAATCAATGAAAAATTCCTGGAAGATATTTTTTCTATCTGACAATATGGAGTTATTCCCCGAAGTACCCTTCGGGGAATTGGCCTTAGTTTTATGAATATATTACTATGCGCTACTAAAGCCATTTCATTGAAATCCTAAAAACGATTTTTGAAGTTATTCTCCAGGGTAGAAATTATTTCTACATGATATTTGTTGTCATAGGGTTCTAATGGATTTTGAGATATTTTTTCTGAAAGAATAGGAAAATGCTTGGCATCGCTGTTAATTAGGTTTTGTTCCCAAAACTCCAGCTTTTTGATAAATGCTTTTATATCAGAAATCATTTCCGCTAGTTCTTTGTCTCTCCCCTGAAGC